AGGGAAATTTGAAAGTCAGAGGATGGCAGATTTACCACCAGACAGAATTACTCCAGGACCTCCATTCAGTGCAGTTGGAGTAGATACGTTCGGACCCTGGACCATCGTCACACGTAAAACACGTGGAGGACAAGCTGAAAGTAAACAGTGGGCAATTATGTTTACATGTTTGACAACTAGAGCAATTCATATTGAGTTAGTGGAGTCAATGTCCAGCTCATCTTTCATCAATGCGTTACGTAGATTTATCGCACTTCGTGGGAATGTGTCTTTATTTCGATCAGACAGAGGTACTAACTTTATCGGAGCTACAGAAGATCTTGGGATTGACGTAACAAAAGGACCAGTGAAAAACTTCCTTGATAAGTCGAAGATTGTGTGGACATTCAATGCTCCCCACTCTTCCCACATGGGAGGAGTGTGGGAGAGAATGATTGGATTAACACGTCGAGTATTGGATACACTACTCTTAGGACCTAAAGGAAAAAATGTCACTCACGAGGTACTTAGTACATTGATGGCCGAAGTGACAGCCATAATTAATTCAAGACCAATTACTACTATATCTAACGATCCTGAGGTACCATTTGTGTTGAGTCCAGCAATGCTTTTGAATCAGAAGATATCCGGTCACTATTCTATATGTATGGATGTTGACATACGTGATATATACAAAGAACAGTGGAAGCAAGTACAAGTCTTATCTGACTTATTCTGGCAACAGTGGAAAACCTATTACCTTCAGAACTTACAATCCCGTCGAAAGTGGACATCTGAAAGAACAAACATGAAGGTTGGAGATGTAGTAGTCATCAAGGATCGTGAGTCTGCAAGATGTCAGTGGTCTATTGGACTTGTGGAAGAAGTTTTCCCCAGTGCAGATGGACTCGTGCGGAAGGCTTTTGTGCGTGTTATGATTAATGGAAAACCGTGTACATATACAAGACCAATAAGTGAACTTATTCGACTCATAGATTAGCAGTTTTATGTCAGTTAAACTGCCAGTTTGAAGTGAGTTATTAACTGTTAAATTTTATTCTAATTTAACCTTGAAAATTATTTTGTGTAGTGCAATGAACCTTATGTGTAGGATCCTGGTCACTGCACCATATTTTCTTATATTTTGTACTGTAATGTATGAATCGAAATGTGTTTGTTAAATTTAATATGATTATGTAGTAATATTGTTATAATAATACCAATATTAGGCAGGGAGTGTTCCGTTCCGAAAAATTTTTAGGTATTTGGTTTTGGTGTTTATGTTCAATATACTTCTTCCGCTCCACGAGTTTTTCATGTTATGAATTTTATCGATGGTGTTTTACAGACCCCACAGTGTATGTATTTTTGTTATTTCATTTTCACCATTATATAAGTGATAAATAGTGCATTTCTTTCAATATCTATGATGTATTTAATTTATGCATTTAAATATTTTGGTCATGAATGAATTCATTGCTTATCGGTAGTGTACTCCCTGACCTATGATACGTTTTTGCATGTGCTACATTGTATTGTTTATATTTTGTTGTAGCATCTACGGTTTATTCCTAGAGAATAAATTAAGTTTGCTAGCTGTCGTGTCCTCGACTTTTTGGGACAGCATAGAGCACATTTGCCTATATTCGTTGAAATGTGGACTTAATCTTTTATGTCAATTGAATAAAAAAGAATTTATTCTTGAATAATATTGCTTAATACGGTTCAGTTGATAAAGTCTATCAACGACGATGTTAGAAGAAGTATTTTTGTGATTTTCTATGTTCTCTTTATGACCAGTACCCCTAAAATGGCTGAAAATATGTAGTCGCAGTGTAAAATTATCACTCCAAGTTACACAGGCTTTACTACATTTAATAACAAGGAAACATGCCATATATTTTTATCTTATTGACAAGCGAGTGCAAATCTATCATTTTGAAAAGTTTGAAAATCTTGTGACAAAGACTTTTCCGACATAGGTTCTACCTTAATATATTCAGAGAAAATCAATACAATTTTAATATTTTTAACAGCATTTGTTTTGATGAATGTGAATTGTAGTATTTGCACTTGTATATATATAGGGTCTCTGCTGAGTTCGGCCCAAGCGACATCGCTTACATCAGTTGTTTGTCACGTGCAGGTTTAAGATCAGAACATATATGTACTACTACAAAGATCTTAAAAGTTCAACGACATAGGGTATCTTTCCGCTATAAAATGCATGGCACCCCGGAGTACAGGCTGCTCTATACGTATAAATTTAAGGTTTGGTGTATGGGATTGAGGTGGGAGAAGTTATTCAGAAATAAGGTTAACTATACATTAAAAAGATTATACATCAGAATGTTCTTTCCCTTTGTAAATTACAAGATACGCAATATATTTACTGCCATGAAGTACATCTTTAAAAATATATATGTTTTTCATATGTCATATATAAAGTTGCTTATCATTTACTATCGACAAAACGACAGGTCCCTTTTTTAGAACATTAAATTTTCACTTATCGCATAAAATAACGTACTTAACACAGTTTGTGTTTTATATTCATTAAGTCAAATATATTTTTGATGATAGGTGAGACATGTGTCTGATTCTAATTTATATTTTATGCAGCCAACAGTTTCTTCAGGAAATTATAAAGTTTTAAAAGGGTATCGTTTTTGTTCGATTTTCATCCGATTAGAAGCTTTCCGTAAATCTCCTCGAGTGAAGTCTCGATATTTCAGATATATGCCTTTATCACACAAATCGAAGCGGTTTGATGATCGAGATTTTACTTTATTTATTTCCCAGGCGACAATTGATGGCAACATCAATATTTTCTTGTTCTGTTTTGTTTGAGACAAATTCATTAACATGAAAAGTGCTGAGGGCAACTTCCTCGGGAATTGTGTAAAATTTAGCACTCTTTCTATAAACTCCAGACATAGATGTAATACGCACTGGAATAATTTTACATTTCGGAATATATAAACAATGCACAACGAGCACTTTTCAGAATAGTCGGAATAATACATGTAGCTAAAAGTTTTTAAAAATTCAGAAGCTATAGTGAAGCGGATATCGTTGAAATTGAACTTGTGATATTTTCGAGGTGCTGGACACCTCATTCTAGCACGTTACTGTACAAACGTATATGAATACGGCGATACAAAGTCTACACATTAATTTTAGTTTGACAATAAAATGCGGATTAATATATTTTAGAATATGTCTTTATTTTGGTCCACTTAAGCTTGTTTCGTATTTATTTCAATTTTTACAAACTACGATAATAGCTTGATACACGCCTCAAGTACAAAGAAACTGCGCGTCAAACTAAGAAATGAAGTCATCTCAGTAAGTACAGCGATATCAAGCTGGCTTTCATTTTACATAAGTTTTACTAAATGCTATTTTGGCAAGATAAGTTGCACATTCATTTAACTTAATAATACTTTTGAGAAATGAAAGTATTAGAGTATGTTTTAAAAAGAACATATAGTATTTATTCATCGAGATTCATTTGTATTATTTTAGCGTGACGTGATAATAGCTTTCCCGAGCCTCTTCATAGGGTTAGATATTAAATGTCCCATTAAATATGGGAGTCCTTAACCTAGCTGCGAATCAATAAAATAATTAGTACTTATTAACAAGTCTTAAAGCAGATATATTTACTTGCCCCCATTTGTCACTATCACCATTTAAACTGAACAAAACAATAGTGCTATAGTTAAACTCTAATATCGAACAAAGGTAAGGTAGTCGCATTTGTATTTATCTATTACATGTATTTACAGGTCAACCTGACCATAAAAAGTGCTTTTGTTATATATATACTTATAAAAAAAATTGTATAATTCTTTTATTTAATTGATTTTTAAAATTACATTATTTACAGTGATTGATTATCACAGGTGCATAATGAAAGGGGAATAACTTCTCTCAGCATAATACAATAAAGCCCTTCCCAACACCAGAAAACTTGATCAAGTGGTTCCAAGTTTCAAAAATCTTGTAAAAATACCCTTGCTTATTACAACTTTGTACTAAGTTTGCTCAATATCAAAAAGCAGAGAAGATTTCAAAGAAATATTATCAATAAGCCCTCCCGTTAACACCAGAACCTCTGACCCCGTAGCCACAAATTTTTTACTTCTTCTGGAAGAGGCATCCTAGGACCTCTGACCCCGTAGCCACAATTTTTTTTTACTTCTTCTGGAAGAGGCATCCTAGCTTGCTCATCATAACTATGTACTTAGTTTGTTTGCTATATACTTATGTATTTTCACTATATAATCAAGACCCCCCCTTCCCGAATTCCTGACCCAGGGGCCACAAATTTCACAATGTTGGAAGAGGTGTTATTATCCACTGTATTATAGTCTGAGACAATTTAAAGCACAATATTTTACCGATCCCTATCAAATAATATATATTTTACCTGCAGACTGTCTTGCAATATTTGTTGATACTTTCTTTCTGTTTTATTGTTTATGTACAGAGATTGAAATGTTTTTTCCTGTTATAAAGTAGATGTATGCAGTAGATGCATTGTCTTGCGAACAGATGTTATCTCATATATAGTTTGAATTGGTGATTGACGTATTCGAATTGGTGATATCACCTATTTGATTTGAATGGTGATATCACCCTTTTGAATACATGATATCACATATTCAAATAAAATAGGTGATATCACCAATTCGAATACGTGACATCACCTATTCGAATAAGTGATATCATCAATTCGGATCAAATAGGTGTTATCACCAATTCGAATAGGTAATATCTCCCATTCGAATAGGTGAAATCACCTCATGGCAGTAAATATCAAAACGGCATCTAATAGAGATGAAATCACTCGAAATAGATAAGCTATAATGAAATGTATAAGAAAATGTGTTAATTTCGTTGTTTTTGTTCTCTTTCTTCTTACCACTCTGTCTCTCTATGTTAATGGCTACATTAGTATACGCCTTTTTAGTTTTATTTCATATCTATTATAATCTAATTTCTATTAATTTCAGGCTGAGATTTAGAGGTTAAATCTGGTACGGAATGAGAAATTCAGAATGAGCATTACATTGAGATCGAAATACCCTTGTTTTCATTGTTCTTTAAATAAATTTTAAGCAGATTCTCTTTCTCTTTTATTCATAAGAGTGCCTGCATCGCTGATGTAACAAAACACATCCCAACAAACAGGATGTTGACAAAGAAAGACAAGTATTCAGCAATTGACGGTGTGTGTCGATCGGATCCATTTAAAAAAGACAATCCTAGCGAATTGATATGAAAGATAATGAGAGTGTTAGAATGCAAATATGCATCCACTGGTATTAGTTTTCAGTTACTTTCCAAGTAAAGGTGTTAAATAATCCCTGTTCCCCCAATGATCACTATCCCCCAAAAAGACAGTGATAAAAAAAGTCGAAAGGAGTTATAAATGTCAAGATTTACAACCAGCAACTTGAGCAAAAGTGGCGAAGTATAGATATTAAATAATCGATTCTGTGATGATGATATAGGTGTATGGCTAATAAAAATTTCTTTTAAAAAGTGGGGGTATATAGTGATGTGTCCGACCGTACCTTCGTCCGTATATACTTTTATAACACTTGAGGCTAGCCATCTCTTATCCGCAACTTCTCTTACACCACTGAATGCAATTTAATGAAACTTTTGTCAAATCTGTATTACATACTGTTTTTTTGCAACTGCTACTTAACTTTTCTATTTTACACGTATTTGGGGTTTTCAGTAACAAAATACTGACGTTCTTTCTATAATAATTAAGATACCCATCTCTTTGCCGCAACTCGGATACTCCTCGAATTATACTGAATAATTTTCAGAACAAACTTTCAAGGAAGCTTTGTAAGGTAGGGCCTTTATGACCTTTTATTTTATGTACTGTTCGGTCAGATATTTTTGGTTTCCCATTGCAAAACATGGGCATTGCCGTTCTTTTTAGGTCACCTGAGCTGAAAGCTCAAGTGAGCTTTTCTGATCACCCGTTGTCCATCCGTCCGTCCGTCTGTAAACTTTTCATATTTTCAACTTCTTCTCAAGAACCACGGGGCCAATTTTAACCAAACTTAATACAAAGTATCCTTGGGTGAAGGGGAGTTTAAATTATTAAAATAAAGAGCCAAGTCCCCTTACAAGGGGAGATAATCAAGAAAAGACAAAAACAGGTGGGGTCATTAAAAAATCTTCTTCTCAAGAACCTCTGGGCCAAAAAAGCTGAAACTTATGTGAAAGCATCCTTAGATAGTGTGGATTCTAAATTGTTAAAATCATGACCCCCGGGGGTAGGACGGGCCACAATAGGGAATTCAAGTTTCAGATTGAATTATATAGGAAAAATCTTTAAAAATCTTCTCAAGAACCATTGGGTCAGAAAAGCTGAAAGTTATGTGAAAGCATCCTGGGGTAGTGTAGATTCTAAATTGTTCAAATTCTGACATCCGGGGGTAGGGCGGGGCCACAATAGGTATTACAAGGGGGGGGGGTCTGGCAAAGAACAGCATGGCCAAAGTTACTCAGGTGAGCGATGTGGCCCATCGGCCTCTTTTGTATAATCTTGCGGTTACCCATCTTTTACCCGCATCTCTTCCTATACCACTGAATAAAATTTAATCAGACTTTCAAAGAATCTTTATTTTATTTGTCACTGTGTATCTATAATTTTTCGATCGGCAGATATTTGATTAGTTTTTATTTTGTGAGCTCAGTCCACACAATATTTTTATTTATTAGTTGTACTGGTTTAAGACCAGGACTAAGTTAAATCTGACCACTGGGTATTAATATTATTATTTGAAAGATTTGTGCAATTCCATTCCTCACTCAAAAATTTTGGCCACATTAAGGGCCAATAAACTAAAGGTACCAAATGATCCACAACCCACCCTCCTTCACCCCATTTCCAGACTTGAATATAAGATTTGTGATTGTTGTGCTTTTAAAGAACAGTTGCAAAACAATTTTATAAAAAATATTACTTAAAAAGTTATTTAATTGATACTACATAAACAAAAACCTTATTTTGTGTCGATTTCATATTATATTCCACTTGAATTGAAGTAGTGATTGAATAGAAGTATTCCACTTCTCCGAATCAAACAAATATGACGCATAATACTAAACTTGAAAAACCCATATTCTGGACATTTTTATTTTTTTATTGCAATGTCAAAAAAGTCTAATTATTAACAAGTGAAATTTGACATAGCACTACGAACTCTTAAACAGGAAATAAAGAAACCTCTTATCAAACAATTCATTAACAATTTTCATTAAGAAAAATGTCCTTCCTTCAATTACATGTAGAATAACTGCATGAAATATTTTGAAATCCTTAAGTTGAAAGAAGCCATTTTTCTGTGTTGTAGTCAAGCAAATATGGCAGGGATTAGGGAGAAAAAATTCGTAATTTTATACCAAGCTGCATTTAACGCTCTAAAAACGTGCATTTTTTATACGTGCACTTTAAAAAAATCAATACTATGTCTCTGAATGTATAGACACAATACATTTATTAACCCCAAATTTATCTTTACGTAATACGAATTCAGACTCGATCATTCGGCCAACTATTTTGTTGTGTTACTTTAAAAAAACGTAAATTATTTTGATTTAAATCATTGAGTCATAACGACAAAGTTTTTTTTTTTCAAATTGTTTGAAGGTGAAAGAAATAATTAATTTATACAAAGATAAGAATGGGGGTTGAAATACTCCATTACTATACACCATGCATTAAAATAGTCGTTATATTTGGAGCGTAGAAGGTTATACAAGTAAAGTATGATACGTTTCTTTTTTTTCAGCTCGACCTCACAACAACAAAAAGTGAGGGTGGGAGTGTTTGTTCGGGGGGGGGGGGGGACCAACATATAAATAAAAATTATATATATATATATATATATATATATATATATAAGGTGGACTTTGGCATAAAGTAGACCGCACTTATTTTGAGGCATTAAGTAGACATTTTTCATTTCTTTTATTTGAGACATTCTGATTCACACTTTCACCCAAATTTATTCTAATAGGCTTCAAAAATGAAAATTTTACCCCCTCAGCCCTAAATGTTGCTTCCTGAAAAATATACGACATTTCTGGTCTCCTTAATATTTTGTAAATACATTGGAGGTTTTAGGTAGACATGTATATATTTTATGAGGATTCCGAAGGGTTAAAGTAGACCAAGTATATATAATGCATAAAGGAGACCAGAATATATATATATACATGATTATGTAGACCATTTTCTTTTTTCTAATTATTTAAATAAAAAACTACACATGCATAAATGTACTTCTCATACCAGTATTTATTGGTCAATTTGCATTTATCTTAAGTAAAATATTAGGCACTTTAAAACCCAGTATGATGATTCCTTATTTTAACTAGAAGGAACTTATTGGGTGATAACTATTCGTAGACAAATTTTCATGTCCTGAATCTTATGGAAATATAGTAAATGACCGATAGTAATTGTAACGTTAAGAAAAATATTTCATCCACCACCAAAGAAACACATTGATTTAAAACTTCGTACTCACATGATGACTTATGGTATAGAATCATCATCTAAGCCACAATCACCTGTACATGCTAGATATGACCTCTTGAAACTATAACCTTGTACTTTTCTAAAAAAAATTGTATTTTAGAATTTTATATATCCAGTTTTTGTCATATACTCTGAGCATAATGAACCCTAAGATAATATAATCTTTGGAAGTTATTTTATAGTGGACAAAAATTGAACTTGATGCAGGGTTGTTATACATCCCCAAGTCACAATTATCCCTTTGCCTTGATTTACATTGAGTATAACAATAATGTGATTGCCCGCTTGGCGCAGTGGTCAGAGCATTTGCTCTAGAGTAGTGGAGTAAGGACTTGTTCCTTAAGTCATAGGTACAAATCCCACTGAAGGACGTGGAGACCGGTTCTTCCAATGAAACCAAATTCCCTTGTTGCAGTATATGCTGGGACAAGAGAAGACCTCTCACTGCTCAACCAGCAAGTTGTGATGTCTCAATACTAGTGAAAAATTCTTAAAGGATGTATAACAAACAAACAAACAGAATTATGTGTTTATCTGAATATTTATTACATTTCTAAACCCTATGGCCTTGACCTGTATTAACCTGTGTTAGGACCATACTCTGAGGTTACAAACAATTATTGGTAAGTATTTAATACTTTGATATACAGTGACTATGACCTTGTGCAAAAGACCGTTACTACTGGGTCTAGAATATTTCTGGCCACAAGCTACCTTTGTTTCAAAAGATGTCTACTCACAGAAGACACGTAGACTTCACAATTCCAGTAACTTCATTTGTTGTTGTATAAAAATATCAATATTTCCCCATGCAAAAAAAAAGTTTGTAAAACAACCCCTTTTCTTCTCATGTCTAAGATCTCTATCCTAAATACACATTTGTCACAGTCACTGTCTACTGAATTCATAAATCTAAAGGTAGTTCATACAGTCTTATTTTAATTCATATTCTTGTGTCTTTAACATCATTACATATATAATTTTTCCATGTTTGAATAGACAATAAAAATTGGAAACCATAAATACAATGAATTAGATTTGTTATAACTGTAACAAATAATGCAAATATGTGCAAGTCATGTAAAATTTCATTTTATTTGTAAATTACATTGGTGACATTTGTATACTGTTCAATATATGCATAAGGACTTCTATTATTATCAATCTTCACAACATTAGTTTTGTATAAAGTAATAAATAACTAGTATTTTGTACACAAACATAACATCAATAAAAATAACAATCTTTTACATATCTATAAATATACATAAGAGGAATAAAACACTATTTTGAAATAATCATTACATTTTCATTTCTTGTCAATTAAAAAAAATGAATAGCATTATTAAATTATTACAACATGTTTTAAACCACAAAACTGTGTTCTAAAATGCATTATATACAAAGTGAGATGCATTGATTAACTGTTCATTGTAAGTTGAAATGAAGTTATTACTTATAAAAATACTTTGCATTAAAAAGCAAATCTTTACATAGTTTATTTGATGAGAATATTCCCTCGAACAATAAACTGGCAAGATGTAAAACAGA